CTCCCATCCCCCCGCCCAGGGATTCAACTGGACGCTCTTCATACAATCTGTCCTGTCCTCCGTCAACATCGAGATGCTGCCGGATGAAGAGGTGGTGGTCTACGGCATCCCCTACCTCCAGAAGCTCGAAAACATCATCAACGTCTTCTCGGCCAGGTGCAGCCCAAGGGCGTCCCAGGAGGCCTCCGAATCTTTGCCCCGGCTCTGTCCCCTCCCCACCAGCTCCTCCTCTAGGGAGACACCCCACCCCCCCCAGCATTCACTCTGAGGCCTGAGGGCCGAGGCAGTGGGGGCTCAATGCTGATGGTCCATGGCGCCTTCCCTCGGAGCTCTGGACCCCTCCTGAGGCCTTCAGGCACCCAGGGCGGACAGGCTGTGTCTGGGGGGCTGTTTGGGAGGTTTTCCCGACCACCCCGAACTCCCTGCCTGGGGAACAACCTGCTGGCCAAGGACCCAGAACCAATACCCCTCCCTGAGCAAATACCCCTCACCCGTCCTGTCCACCCTCCGCTGCCGCCTGCAGGACCATACAGAACTACCTGGTCTGGCGCCTGGTGCAGGATCGCATCAGCAGCCTGAGCCAGCGGTTCAAGGACGCCCGTGCAAACTACCGCAAGGTGCGTGAGACCCACGGCCCCGGCCCGGCCCGGCCCGGCCCCGAGCCAGCCGCCGTTCCTTCCGTCTGTTTGTGATGCTGAGCACCTGCTGGGGGCCCGGCACTGAGGTCCCGGGGTCAGAGCCATCCAGGAGCCCAGGGCGACAAGGACAGGGAAGCGGGAGGAGCGTGGGGCTGGGTGGGGCCCCCATCCCCCCACTCCCTGCCTGGGTTCGAGCGCCCCCTCCAAGCTGCACACTCTGCTCTCCCCACACCTGCGCCCACATTCAAAGGCGAGTCTCTGAGCTCATCCCTTGTCGCCCACCGACCCCTGGGCACCCTGGAGCCTAGGACGGGGCGGTAAAGGTTGGCAGAGGCCGTGGAGTCCGTGAGTGGACAAGGTCGTGAGTGGACGAACGGCCACCAGGTGCTGTACGGCAAGACAGTGGAGGAGGTGCGCTGGCGGGAGTGCGTCAGCTACGTCAACAGCAACATGGAGAGCGCCGTGGGCTCCCTCTACGTCAAGAAGGCCTTCTCCAGGGACAGCAAGACGCTGGTGGGTGCCGGCACCCCGCTGCGGTCAGGGGACTCTGTGCAGCCCACGCAGGGACACAGGCCTATGAGGGTTGGGGGCAGGTCCCGTCGCCACCACCCGGTACTGGGACCCAGAGCTCCCAGAGAGGAGGCCCTGTGCCCCCCACCCCCCCGCCCCCAGCAGTGTGGGTGTTTTCAGTGGGGACGGAGGGGGTGTTGGGAGCCCACATTTGCCCTGGCGGCCTTCCCCAAGGGGAGGCCAGGGGAAGCATTGCCCATCAGGGCCTGTGCCCCAGCCAGGCGTTGGCCCTGCAGGCTNTGTCGGGGCCTGTGCCCCAGCCAGGTGTTGGCCCTGCAGGCTGCCTGGGAAAGGGTTCAGCTGTATGTCTGGGGGTGGGAGGCCCTAGGTCCCCCTACGACAGAGACAGCTGTAGGACCCTGTCCCAGGAGGGCCATCCCCACAGTGCAGGAGCTTTAGACCAGGCCCCTGCCGAGACCCCGCGGCCGGTCACCCAGGCACATGGGCCCTGGCTCCCCAGGTCAAAGAGCTCATCGACAAGGTGAGGGCCGTGTTCGTGGAGACCCTGGACGAGCTGAGCTGGATGGACGAGGTGTCCAAGAAGAAGGCCCAGGAGAAGGTGGGCAGGTGGCTGGAATGCCGAGCGTAGGGCTTCCCGGCGGCCCCAGGGCGGGGGCACGTGGCCATCACTCTCACACTCGCTTTAGAGTGCGGACATCGAAGCTGGGGTGGCTGGCTCGGCAGGGGACTGTGGGCAGAGACAGGACCGGAAGCCGAGCCTGGGAGACCCGCCAGCGCCCTGGGAATGGGTGCAGAGGACAAGGGGCCGGGGAGCAGGGTGCCCAGAAGTGACGGCAGGCCCTCCAGGAGCCCCTCTGGGCCAGTGAGACAGCAGCCCAGCAGCACCACCGGGCCCCACCCCATGGGACCCCTGGCCGGATGTCCGAGGCAACGTTTGGCCTGGGGCCCAGCCCTTCCACAGTCCCTCCACTAACCTCCTCACAGCCCACTACCTGCTGGGGGGGCACAGCCAGGATGCCCGTGGTGGGCGGGCATGGACCGGGCCTCTCCTCTCCAGGCAATGAACATCAAGGTGCAGATCGGGTACCCCGACTACATTCTGGATGAGAGGAACAAACACCTGGACAAGGAGTACTCCAACGTGCGCCCCTAGCCCGGCCCTCGAGGGCCCCACCTGTCTCCTCGCCCAGCCCCATCTGGCCCTGGACCGGCCCCTGTGGACCATGGGCCGGCCCCTGATTACCTGGGGTGGGAAGGCAGGGCTCTGTCGATGATTTACCCACCTCTCCATGTGCTGTGGACGCTCTAGCATTACGGTTACCGATGGGGAAACTGAGGCCCCAGGGGACAAAGGAACCTTCTCGAAGACACATAAACATGCAGAGCCAGGGTTGCCCACCCCCCACCCGTCATCCCTCTGCACCCAGCACCTGTTAGCCACACACAGGACTGCCCGGGGAGTCCCAAGGCCAGTCCCCAGCCGCCCTTGACCTTCCGTCCCCCCGCCCGCTCGCTGGCAGTGACAGCTCCTCTCCTGTAGCTGAACTTCTCGGAGCACCTGTACTTTGAGAACGGCCTGCAGAACCTCAAGGCTGTCGCCCAGCGGAGTCTCAAGAGGCTGCGGAAGAAGGTGGACCAGAACCTGTGAGTGGGGACAGCACGTGGGGGCCAGGACGGGACACAGGCCAGCCGGGGAAGGCAGCCGGGTCTGTCTCAGAGCCACCCAGCTTTCAGGGAGGCCGGGGGAGGAGCCAGCTGTCTGGACTGGCCGGGACCCTGCCCCTGCTGTTGGCAGTGCTGGTCCCATGGCATGGCCGCTGTGGCATGGGCCCTCAGGGTGCGCCCTGGCCAGCCCAGTAGGTGGCCCACAGGAGGGTCCCTGGAGACAGGGACTACAGGTGACCCGCTCACTTATCCCAGCTGGATCATCGGGGCCGCTGTGGTCAATGCGTTCTACTCTCCAAACCGGAACCAGATTGGTACGCTCCCCCCAC